CCCAGTGTGAGACCTAACTGCTTGAATCGAGATGCTTGGTTATTCTGTACGATTAATTCATTTAAAATTGGCGCAGTTTTACATGCGCGTGCGACCACTGAGCATGCGCATGTGGCCGCAGGGCACGTTCAGTGTTGCTACATGTCGTCGGTATGACAGAAATCATAACCTGATTCCTGTCAACTTTAACGATTAATATCTCGCGTCGCGGGGCAGAGCGACACTTTTTTCTGCCAGATTCGGTTGTTTCGTGCAAAAACGCGTCGAATGAGCCTAAATTCATCGTTTTTTGTGCTGCTGTAGCTAAACTGAAGAATTACTTTTTTTTGTATTTTAATGTATTAAAAATAGTTGTACATAAAATTATTCTGACTTATTGCTATTTTAAAATAATGAAATGTATACTGAAAATTACTGTAATTTAAATATCAACTTAATTATAACGTGTTTATTATTATTATTTCTATAGATGGATTCTGTACAATCAAGGAAAATTAAAATTGGATACGGTGAGAAATGTATGAATATATATGTGACAAATAATATGTTGTCGATAATACTGTTGAATGCAAGGAGGAAAGTTTTACAGAGATACGCGACTTTATTAATACAACGTGACTTTTCTCTAGAGGAATCGCTTGTTGACTAAATGAATATCGGTACGCCTCGTGGCAACGCAACTCGTACCCAACGCTCGGACAGATTCGGTTATTTCCGGAGCACGCACACACACACACAAGCCGTACGTACATGCACGCGTCTCAAATGCGACGACACATACCTCAACATAATACTTTGAAAAAAAGTTTTTTAAAAGATTATTTTCCTGACGGTGGGACTTTGACATATCAAATTGATGGGGAGACATATCTATTAGACACGGATGCTTAATCCATCTACGTAAATGCAAATGTGGACATTTATGATTTCAACGTTCCAAAAGGTTTATATAACATTATCTTACATCATATACTTTATACTATACTCATAATTATTGTAAAGAAATGTTATTTTGAATAATATATAGCTATGTAACTTGGCTATAATTTTCAAAAAATAATCAATATTTTTCTAGATGTACCTGTTTCACAGCTCAATGGAAAAAAACGTAAACGTTTTCACGATACTCTTGAAACGTTATATTCAGAAAAAAAATCAGATTGTGTTAAAGAAAAGGTATTTAAATTTTATCATATGTATTCTATTTAGTTGTATATTTGTACAAGGAAGCTAATTGTCTATTTTCTTTGATATTTTTACAGATGAATTACATAAATCTTTTCCATTTTGAAAAAATTAAAAAGTATTTTTATAAGAACTATTGTTATGAAGCAATTCTTCAGAAATTAAATAAAAAGCATAATGTTAAAATTTCGATGCGTACTTTATCAAGAATCTTAGCTCAAAATAAGTTTAAACGAAAAAATATAAATGAGAGTCCAATCGAAGAAATAGTTCTTGCTATTATATTGGAATTAGAAGGAAGTGGGTGTAATTTGGGATATAAGTCAATGTGTCAAAGGTTGAAGAAAGTTTATAAACTGAAAGTTAAACAAAAAACTGTTATGAAATTGTTAAAAATAATTGATCCTGAAGGAGTTGAAGCTCGGAGCCGGTACAAATTGAAAAGAAGAATATATTCGGTTCCAGGTCCAAATTATCTTTACCATGCAGATGGGTACGATAAACTTAAAAGGTTTGGTTTTGCTATCTATGGATTTATAGATGGCTTTTCCAGAAAAGTATTATCACTCAATGTTTCAATGTCAAATAATTGCCCTGCAATTATCGCTTATTATTATTTACAACTAATAAAAAAACATGGATTTCTATACCAACTATCATTCGAACAGACAACGGAACAGAAGTTTCACATATGGAAAGTATTTACATTGCTTTACGGTATCATCACACAGATGAACATGCAGGTGAGAAAAGTTTTTTAAAAGAAAAAAGTATGCACAACCAGCGAATTGAATCTTATTGGCGTCAATTTTGGCAACACATGGGTGACTTCTATCTTAATTTATTTAAAAAAATGGAATATGAAAATGTTATTGAGATAAACAATCCATTACACATTGACTGTTTACGTTATTGTTTTGGTCACCTGATTGAAGAAGATATAAAAATCACGAAGAAAGAATGGAATGAGCACAGAATGCGCAAACAGAGTAGTAGAAATGTTCTTGGTGGAATACCAAATGAGTTATATTATTTACCTGAAAATTTTGGAGGAAAAAATTATCAGAAACCATTGGTTAAAACACACATTGATATTCTATTAGGAAAGTATGCTAAAAGGCCTGTATTATTTAAACCAGAATTTAAAGAACTCGTAAGCCTTATTACGGACGCTCCAACTCCAGGTACTTTGAAGCATTTAATCTGTATATAGATATAATTGATGCTATTGAGAATGAGAAACAATAGATTTCTAACAGTATTTTAAATCTCTTATTAAACTTCAATGTTATGTATAATACTGTATTATGTATAATATCTGTATAATATTTATTGATTGTATTGTTTAAAACTGTCAACTGTTGTACAAATTATAAAGTCATTTTTGAAATATGTAAAATAAACTAGAAACTATAAGTTTGATTAAGTGCACTTTTTCAATACTAAAAATAATATATTTCTTTGAAATTGAACAGTATATCATGTATTATGTATAATATCGTGGAATATATAAGTTATATATATGTATACATTTTACGCAAAAAAAAAAAAAGAGGGTTACCGACCGAGTAAGTATAAGGAGAAGCACGCATGTCATTTGCATAAATTCATTAGAAGTTTTCTGCCGTGATATCGCCTTAGGGCGACTCTGTTTCAGACAGTTGCATGCGCAAAGTGCAATAGGGCAGAGGGAAAAGAAGGCAAGCAGAGCGGAAGAAGCGGAAGGAAGATTGTCGAATAACTGTTGCGGCGACAATTTGGAGGTTAGGAGAGGCCCGGAGAAAGCAGAAAGGACATAGGAAATAAAAATCGGGTGTTTAGAGACACGACCGAACATCGCATTTTGTTCAGTAGGTGATGTTCCACGTTATAAGCTTTAAGTAGCTTTCGTGTGTCAGACTCCCGAGTGCGCCTGCACGTGCACGGCGCGTGCACGACACGGATTGCACGCCAGCGCGGTCCCAAGCCGTCGCGCCTCCCGCACATAGGAAATAAATAAAAGACAGGGAACACCGAGGGACAGAGAAAGGAGCGGATGGAGGAAAAGAAGGAGGAGAGCAAAGGGAGCAAAAATAGTGAGAAAAAGTACCAGAAAGAAAATAAAGAATCGTTTAAAGGAGGTAAGAACGCAGAGAATAGATACGCGAGGACAGTAGAACTGTCAGAAACAAGAAGCAGAGCAGGGAGCCAAGGGTCGATTGCAGACAACATAAAGAAAAGGAGAAGAGAGCAGGAGAGTGAAGAAATAAAAAAGGCCGAGAAAGAAATTACAGACAAGTTTGATAAGGAAAGAAGATTAAGTAGATCACCACCAAACAAAGTAAAAAAAGAGGAAGAGGAAAAGGAAGGCATGGAGACAGGAGAAATGCTGAAGGAAATACTGACCAAACTGGAGGATCAAGAAAAAGAAAGAAAGAAAGATAAGGAGGAACTGATGAAAGAGATACAAGATCTGAGAGAAGAATACAGAAAAAGCGAAGCGATATGGGAGAAGCTGAAAACCGGTATAGAAAAAAGAGTAAAACAGCTGGAGGAGAGAATGGAAGAAGCGGAGAAGAGGAGAGAGGGAGAGAAGGAATACAATGAGCTGTTAAAGAAAATGAAGGAGATAGAAAGAAAAAACGAATTAGAAAAAAGAAAAAAAAGAAGAAATAATATAATAATAAAAGGAGCGGAAATTGAAGACGGAGGTGAGAGAAGAGAGAAGATTGGAAAGCTGCTAAAAAAAATCACCAAAAAAGAAGTAGAAGTGGACGAGGTACAAATAATCGGCAGACGAGAAAACAAAATAACACTAGTAAGGATAAATAGGTGGGAGGACAAGAGAGAGATAATGATAAACAGAAAGAAGATGGGGATAGGGAAAAAGATATACATAGATGACGACATGACAGTGACGGAGAGAAAAATTCAAGGAAAATTATGGAATATAGTGAAGGAGGAGAGGGAGAAAGGGAAAAGAGCAACATTAGGATACCAAAAAATATGGATAGACGGCCACGAAAAGAAATGGAATAAAAGCGAAGAAAAACTGGAAGATGGAAGAAGATTTCAAAGAGAACAAGAAAGAAAGGAGACTGGAAGAAAATGAGAAAATGAGAAGACTGTACGAAGGAGAAGAGGAGGAAAAAGGAGAAGAACGGAAGGAAAGAAGAAGCGGATAACAGAAGAGCAAAGAGGAATGACAGTAGGCTTCTGGAACATAGCGGGACTAAAAGGGAAAAATGAAGGGTTTTGGAAGGTAGTGGAAGAGTGGGACATAATAACATTCTTAGAAACATGGGTGGAAGAAAAAGAGTGGAGCAAAGTAAAAAAAATAATGCCAGAAAGATATGTATGGAAATGCCAACCAGCGACAAGAGAAAAGAAAAGAGGAAGAGCAAGAGGAGGGATAATTACCGGAGTAAGAAAAGGGCTCGAAGTAGAAGGAAGAGTAGAGAGAGAAGAGGAAGGAATAGTGGAAAGAATTGTAAGAACAAAAGAGGGAGAATGGAAGATTATTAGTGTATACGTAAATAATGACATTGACAAAAAAATAAGATTAATAAAAGAATATACGAACGAAGGAGGCATAGGAGAGCGAATAATAATAGGAGGCGACTTTAATGCAAGAACAGGGGAAAAAGGAGGAATTATGGACATCTTTGGAGAAGAAAGAAAATCAAAAGACAAAGAAATAAATGCAGAAGGAAAAAAGCTAATAGAATTTCTGGAAGAAGAAGGGCTAGGAATACTAAATGGAACTAAGGGAGACAAAGAAGGAGAGTTCACCTTTACCGGAGGGAGAGGAGAGACAGTAATAGACTATATAATAGGAAATCAGGAGCTATGGGAAAGAACAGAAGAGGTAAGAATTGGAGAGCAGATAGACTCAGACCATCAATATGTAGCACTAGAAATAGCGGAGGAAATAGAGGAAAGAAAAAGGGAGGAGAAGAAAACGAAAAAAGTAATGAACTGGTCTAAAGAAGCTGTAGAAAGATATAGAGAGAAAATCGAAGAAAAAACCATAGATGGAGTGAACCCGGAGGAGCTCATGGAAGAAATAAAAAATGCAGTAACAAGGGCGGTAAGCTGGAAAGAAATTAGAATAGACAATAAAGCGAAGAGAAAAAATAAATGGTGGGACGGACAGTGTGTGGAACTAAGAAGAGAAGCAAAAGAGAGGCTAAGAAAGTGGAAAAAAGGGGAAGGAGAAAAAGTAGAATATATAAAGAAGAGGAAAGAATACAGGGAAATGATAAAAGAAAAAAAAGAGAAGGAAAAAGAAAGAATTATAGAAGAAGCAAGGAAAGCAAAAAATGAAAAAGAGGTATAGAGATTCATAAATAGAGAAAGGAAACATAGAAAGGAAGTGAATGAAGAAATAAGTGAAGAACAATGGAACGAGCATTTTAAGAAGTTACTAGGAGGCGTAGGAACAAAGCAGGAGACGGCAAAGGAAAAACAAGAAACAGGAGATAGTTGCGAAAATCAGGAAGGAATAAGAAGAGAGGAGGTAGAAGAAATAATAAAGGAGATGAAAAATAGAAAAGCAGCAGGAGCAGATGGAATGCCAAACGAGGTATGGACAAATGGAGGAAGCAGATTAAAGGAAGCAATATGGAAGATATGTGACATGGCATGGAGAAAAGGGGAAATGATAGAAGACTGGAATGAAGGAATAATTGTTCCCATAGTAAAGAAAGGGGAAGGAAAAGAAGCAGGAGACTACAGAGGTGTAACACTGATGAACACGAGCTACAAAATATACGCAGCTATTTTAGCCAAACGACTAGAGAAGGAGATAGAAGAGAAGAAGATAATACCGGAGACGCAAACAGGATTCAGGAAAGGAAAAGGAACGATAGAAAATATATACACATTAAACTATGTAATAGGAAGAGCGATTAGCAAGGAAAGAGGGAAGTTAGTGGCAACATTTATAGATCTGAAGGCAGCATTTGACTCAGTTGATAGAGAAATATTATGGAAGGTAATGGAGAAGAATGGAATAAGCAAAAGACTGAGAGATAGAATTAAAGAGCTGTATAAAGAAACAAAAAGCGTGATTAGATGTAATGGAGAAAAAGGACCGTGCTTTTGGACAGTAAAAGGCGTAAGGCAGGGATGCCCTCTGAGTGCGCTACTATTTATATTGCTGCTGGCAGACTTGGAGGAGATAATGAGAAAAGGGCAGGAGGGAGGGGTAGTTATAGGAGATACAAAAATATGGACGCTTGCATACGCGGATGACATAGTGGCAGTTGCAGAAAGAGAAGAGGAAATGAAGCAAATGATAAGGAGGTTAGAAAAATACTTCGACAAAAGGAAACTAACAGTGAATGTTGGAAAAACAAAAATCATGAGATTCAGGAAAGGAGGAGGTAGAGCCAAAGAAGTTGAATGGAAGTGGAAAGGAGAACAAATAGAGGAGGTAAAAGAATTCTGCTACTTAGGATACATATTTCAAAGAAACGGAGGACAAGAAGCACACATAAAAGAGAGAGTAAGAAAAGCCACAGTTGCAATGAGGCAAGTATGGGGAATAGGAAAAAGAATTTTTGGAGGAGACTGGAAAAGAAGAATGAAACTCTTTGACTCACTGGTGGCAAGTGTGGCGATGTATGGAGCAGAAGTATGGGGATGGAAAGAAAGAAAGAATATAGAGAGGATACAAGAAAGGTTTATAAGATGGACGTTAGCATTAGATTGGTGCACGCCGGGTTATATGATAAGAGAAGAGGCTAAAAGAATTAAGATGAGAACAAAAGCAGCTAAAAGAGCAATGAGATACGAAGAAAAACTAGAAAACGGAGGGGGAAACGAAATAGCAAAAGCATGCTGGAAGGAAATAAAAAAGGACGTAAGAAAAGAGAAGTCAAAATGGGAAGTAGAACGTAGAAAGTTTTACGAGTGTAGAGGATATGCAGCGGAAGAGATAGAAAGGAAAAGAGAAGAAGGGTGGAGTAGCATAGAAGAGATAGAAGGTAGAGATAGAGACATACAAGTACAGGAGATAGACGAAAAGATAAGAGAATCAAAATATAACAGATGGTACAAAGAGATAGCAGAAATAGGAAGACCTGAGTATTTGGAAAGAGGAGGAAAAGAAAAATCGGTAACAAGGATAGCAAGATTCAGACTAGGAAACGAGATGCGTGGTGGGAGGTACTGGGAATCAGATGAGAAAAGAAGTTGCAGAGTATGCGAGGCAGAGGAAGAAACTTGGGAGCATACGCTGGAGAGATGCGCGAGGGAGGAGGGCGATGACATGGGAGGGGGAATGGGGGAGAGAGTAAAAAAAATTTTGAATGGCAATGGAGAAGGAGAGAGATGGATGGTGAAGTTGGAGGAGAGAAGAGAAAAACGAAATACAGAGACAGAAAACTGTTAAAGCTATAATATTTTGCTCTGTTTGTTGGATTTGATTTGTATGTATAATTTGTATGAAAATGTATAATGTCTATAGGTATGATATATGTATGTGTAACCATTTCAAGCCGGAAGGCAGAAATAAATATATTCTATTCTATTCATTTTACGCAAAAAAAATTTGAAATTCTAATAAAAAAATGTCGGCCCTCTAAAGATTAATAATTTGGTAATGACAATAATTAGAGAATAAAAACGCAGACTTTTTAAATACCTTTTATTCATAAATATTAAATACACAATTGAGTTTCAATAACATTCAATGGAAAAAATACTTGATAATACATTATTCATATGTCTACAGATCAAGATATAAATTGTAATATTACTATTAACATTTGATTGTTATTAAAACTACTACTAACTTTTTATAAACCTTTTAACTTTATGTTGAGTAACAATTTTAAACAATGTTTCAGATATTTAAAGAATATGCAAAAAACTAATATTTAATTATGAATGGTGAATGCAGTTATTTAAGAAAACAAATTACAGTTTAGTATAATATATTACTTTCTCACAGATGAAATCTTTTGCATATGTGAGAAAATAAAGCACACAGTTTACTGATTGTATTGTTTAAAACTATTAACTGTTGTACAAATTATGAATACATTTTTTAAGTAAAATAAACTAGAAACTCTTAGCTTGATTAAGTGCACTGTTTTCAATACTAAAAATAATATATCTCTTTGAAATTGAAATAACTTTATACTTAATACTTAATAATAATACTTAATAATAAGTTTGACTGAGTGCACTGTTTTTAATACTAAAAATAATATATCTCTTTGAAATTGAAATAACTTTGTACTTAATACTTAATAATAATACAGGTTATATTATTGACCAAACTGACATTTATTTTTATTCCGTTAACTCGACGTTTCGACACTGGTTTTGTGTCCTTATCAAGAGATTTCTAAAAGTATGCAAAACGAAGTCGTTACAAGCATGTTGTTATAGGAACAAATGTCGCACAAAAAACAATCAAGGAAATATCTACCTATATATATTTTTCGCAATTGCATTAGTCGCTCACAAAGTTCTTGCCGTTTAACTAACATTGTCAAGGTTTAAAAGAGTCGTAGTCTAGAGCGAGCCGCAGTCATGGTGTGAACGGAACCGACCGGTGACACGTCGTTCCGGATCGAAAGACAGCGACTGACTAATCGTTGATATATAAATAAACGACTGTATAGGTCAAACAAATAATATTGGAAATATAATCAGGGACGACTTGAAATGTAGTGAGATGAGCAGGGAACACAACAATCTTGGTCTTTGTACACTCTGAATACTGTCTTTATTATATATAAGTATATCACACTCTGTAACTTAAACCGTAACCGACACGTCTGAACACGACGGTGATCGAGGCTCTTGTGAGCACCACTGATGCCCGCACGCACGCGTGGCGCGCCGAGTCGCGCCGCCAACCGGGGGCTGCCCTCTAGAAGGGCGGGAACTTATTGCTCGTTCAAAGTCTTCTCCCAACAAATAAAAATAACGTTTAGAGAGTAATTATTACGTGGCTCTTATGATTCTATCGTATAGCGGATTGAGATTCTCAGTGTCTTTTTTTAAATTAATCGTGTTCTTTTGTTCTTTTTTTATGTAAAACATCTCTGCAATCTCCCTCTTCCTTACATATCTCTCCCTATGCATGATTTTCGTATCGGACCATTTAAAATTATGCCCGTGTGTAAGTCGGTGCTTGCTAACAACGGAGTGTTTATTCACCTCTTTT